TCACATGGTAAGTTGACAGGAGCGAATCGGAGTGGGTCAGCAAAATCACAGTGGCCATAGCGTCCTGCATCTTCAACAAGGGCTCGGTTTCAACAAATCTCCACAGTGTGGGCGCCGTGCTCACCTGGCACCAAGGAAAAGGAGTGTGAAGCCCTTGCTGAAACAATCAGCATGAAGACTTTCACGATATTCCGCCTTGAGGTTGTTGGCAATCCATTCGCGCACGTGGTGCAGCCTAAGGGCTACAAAGGAGCTACAAAGGAGCTACAAAGGAGCTACAAAGGAGCTGGAGCTACACAGAACCCTCGCAGAGCCTTCAGATCGTCATATTTCCATACACATATATATATATGTTTCCAATTATTTCCATATATTTCCATATATGTTCTTATATGTTCTTTTTTCTGTTCATGTGTTTACCGTCTCTGCCTGCGTTGCTGCGTTGCTGAGCTTAGAACAAAGATGGTACACCAAAAAAGGAGGCGCAATCCACTGCAATGCGAAGGTCTTCCGCTTTGGCCTCGGATCACACTTGCCATGGATAGCTCGATAGCTCCAACCTACGGCAACCTACGGTTTCCGCATTCCATCTGGACATTAACTGTACATTCACTGTACATTCCCAAAACATTCCCAAAAGGATCCAAAAGGGAACCTAAGATATGAGCAGTATGAGTGCACAAAAAAAACTCGTACAGCTTGTACTTCTGTTTCGAGATTCCGTTCGAAACCCAAGCTCCAAACCACAAAGGTACCACCATGGATGAACTCCAACAAACGGGCCATTTGATCCTGGTGCTGCAGCGACGTCGCCGATGATTCAAGCCCTGCTCACCACAAAAATGGACTGCAAACAGCTTTGAGATGTTCCATTTCTCAAGAAATTGCTAGAGAAATCTGCCTCTGTATCAGGTTGTGTCTTTCCAAAGGGTTTCTAAATGGGACTGAAAATGCGGTGTGAAATCACCCCATCAGTATCCATCAGTCCCGTGGCCAGTACATTGTCACCACGGTCTTCTCGTCTCTCGTGGGACAACCTCAGGGATAATCTTTGGACACATACCTGAAGGCATACCTGAAGGCATCCTCTGTACACTGCTCAGTGAATTCGAAAATTCATAGAGTGCTTACTGGGCAGTGCCAAACAGTTTAAACATGGTCCAGGATTCAGGAGTCAAAGTGCACATGCCCACTAAACCAGCACCAAGTATGAGAACGGTAGACAAACTTGTATTTGGCATGCTACAAATCAAGCTCACAGGGCTATGTTCGCCCTTGCATACTCCCGCAAATCGTGGTCCGATTGCTCTTCACCACGCAAAAGTAAACAAGCAAATACGGTGAGATGGTGGGATTGCGTAATCACTAACAGTCACTAACACAGTGTTCCGCGTGATCAAAACTAGCGCAAACCTATCAATCCAGACCTCAAGCAGGCTACCAGGCTAAGAGGGTGAAAAGGCTCTCTGACAAGACTGGAAGGCAGACCGAGCAAAGCGAATGTAAGCGAAGACTAGCGAAGATGTGTTTCAATGTGTTTAAATGTGTTTAAAGCATTTTAAAGCGACGTGTTTGCCATGTTTGCCTGTCTGTCTGCCAGTACCAAGGATCTGTTCGCAGTTTCAAATTGCCCAGGCCAAAGGTGTGTGGAGCTTTGCCACAAGACCGAGATTCTGGCAAGATAATCCAAGACTGTTTACCGTCCAGGATCACAACTATCGAATCCAACGGCATGACTATGATATGCATTATACATAATGATACATAGATCTTTATACTCTCTTCTGTTTTAAGTGTCCATAGATGTTTCTCTCTTGCCCACCATTTGCCCACCATTTGCCCACCATTCAGCTGGGCTTTGTCAATGAAACTTGTGCCCGTTGGTTCCTGTTCCTACTTGGGGCCATATGGAAAGCATTCATCAGGGTCGCCGAAGAAGCCGCAGAGCTCTTCATAGTGCGAGTAGAACCTTCAGGGAGCTCTGCAGAGTGTCGATGCGTCGTGCAGAGCTCTGTGTTGCTTTGTGTTGGTCATCTGACATCGTCTACATCATCTCCCTATCATCTCCCCTGTCACCTACCTTTTACCTGTCAATTGTTCGTATCCACGCCTGTTCGAACAATGTTCACGGATGTCATGGGGAAAGTTGGGCAAAACCTGGAGCCAGATCTGTTGTCAGAGCGATGTGAATGCCCCGTTTTCTACAATGATCACCAGACCAAAAATATTGAAATTTGAATCGGTCCAATTGCTTCATATTCCATGAGGATATGCCTGATATCTCTGGATTGGAGTTTGGCACCGCTACCACCATCGGAGCATCTCTGAAGATCTTTGCCTGTTGAAGATAGTTCAAGTAGACAAATGCCCAAATCACAATTCCCACCAATAGCACCGTGCTCCTCGCCAATCCAATGCTGAAACAGGCCAGACCATCAGTTGAGACTGAAGCCCTTTAGCTGTAGCAAAACTACAGATGCAACTACATTGTTCAAAATCTCCCAAGCCTGCAAAGTCTGGTAAATCATTTCGAGAGTTTGCTAGCGCTGGTTGCAACTTCAAATTGGTGATTCGATTGTACACGAATCGATTTGTGAACAGAGTGCTGTCACAGATCTTCCATCCGTACGATCAACCAAAGAAATCACTGCAATCAATGCATTTTGTCTTTTCAGTACTCCGTCGTACTCCGTCGTACTCCGTCCCAACTGGCTGGCTTTGACACAGTTCCAGCCAGTTCCAGCTCCTGAGCAGCTCTGCAATGGTCTCATCCGAATGCGCCCTGTGGTCGGCCTGCCACGGTGGGACCAGGTCTTGCACTCGAAATTCATGGAGTGGATGACTTTTAGCCATGCGGGAATACCTATTTTCAAAAGTGAAAGGAAATCCATCTTATGAATATTAAACATATTAATATATATATATATATATTATTATATATATATACAGTATACATAATTACATGATGTTATACAGTTTTATACATGTCACATGGTGGTCATACCTTCTGGCTTGGATTGGCTGATTGGATGGGCTGATTGGATGGGCTGGCACTCGGAAGTCGCAGATTTTGAGGCCAAAGAGGCTGTCAAAATATGTAAAAAAAACATCCACAGAGCCCTTACTGTTCTTGTAACGGTTGTGAGAGGGTGTGAGCCGGTTTAAGCCTTTAGCCTGGACTGCAACCAAGACATACCAAGACAAAGAAAACTGTCCTTGGGAAGATGAGCGAACTTCGTCTGCTCAATAAATTGACCTCGGGGAGAGACCCATAAGGCCATAAGGATCCATAAGGATCCATAAGGATCCATAAGGTAGTGCAGAAGTGCAGAATGAAGAATGTCACTGAATGCTTATCAGTCTGTGTTGCGCTGAGGCTGCGTGTTGTTTGCCTATACGGTTTCATGGTTTTTTGAACGTGTTGATGGATATCTTGACAATTGAGGAAGATTTCATGTGTCTAGCAGAATTACCAGGGTTGTTGACCAAGAGACTTAAGACAACTGTCCATGCAGTGTTCCTTCTGAATTCATTCTGGCGATGGAAACGCAGCAAGCTTGTGTGAGTGTGTAACGGTCATGAAAATCTGCACACAGATGGTAACCAATGCAGCTTGATCCCTGATTACTGCCTCTGGTGCCAAGTGACGCACGTCCAAAGGAGTAAAGGCTTCATACATGAGATCATCTATACCAATTACCTACAGCACAGAGCAAACTTGAGATAATGTATGTTTACATCTGCAAACATTTGCCAAGATGCAAACTCAATCCCTGCACCTTGTTTCAACGAACCTCCAGTCCGACTGCTCACTGAAGCCTGTGAAATAACACTATTCCATACTATTCCACTATTCTTCATAAGTGTGGGCCTTTTGGATTAGTTTGCATCTGAAGTTGGCAACATACTCGTGTCAACATTTACAGCATATCAGAATCTGCCAGGGGGCAAATTCCAAGGCCAAAGCATTCAAAATCAGATCCCCAAAGGACTGGGTCGCAGCCAACCACCGGCATCCAATATATGCGAGCAACATGGCCACAATAATCCTCAGCCCGACCGAGATTACCAGTTGTTCAGAAACACATTTGCCCATGTGCATCAAATATCATCTAAACCAAACACGTGTGACCAAGCATGTTGTCTTGTGCGTCACTTGCGTACAGTAAATTGTGTCAAAAAGATTCAAATTGCGTTGGTTCAAATCTTTGCACGCAAGGGCCGATGTAAATCCACAACAGCACTGTTCCATGGAAAGGTCCACATCTGTCGACATGACCTTTGCAGAGTCGCCAAGTCTCTTGGGAAGCAAAACAAAGACTGTCATTAGAAACCTTGCCATTCGATTCACGGCCACAATCTCAACATGAAGTGTTTCCCCACTATCGTCCTTCACCTTGCAGGGATTTCTCTGGCTTCAAAACAGAGGAAATGTTGTGAAAAGAAGTGGGTGGAGGCTGACCCAAAGCATCACTGCAGAAGTCCACTGTGCTGTTGTAACTGGTTTTGCATATGACTTCATCCCTTCATTTCAGACCTCAACAAATGTCCACAAAGCTGCTCACAAAGGTCCGGCTAAACCGTTCAACAGCTAGCGCTCGGATGTACAAGGAACTTCGCAACCCAAATGTGCCTCGTGGAGCATGTCATGTGGTTTGGCATCGAGAGGTAGCGATTCGATTGCGAATAGATCGTGAGCCAGCTGCCAACTGTCCCTGACCTTGCGAAGTTTTGAAACACTTCTGAGAGACCAAGCACAATCAACCAGTGGAACACTTTCTGTATGTGAATTTTAAGATAATATATATCAATTGTATCTCTATGAACATGTGCTTGTAAGTGTGTAGTATATTCGCATACGTATGTATATACATGCATTCCTACATTGCCCTGTGAGCATGGATTCTAGTGAAATTTAGTGCCATACCCCCAGGTGACGCAAGTGTAATTCGGTCTAATTGTATGACATGAAGTAATGCAATGCAGACGCTGTGTATCTGGAATGAATTCGAATAGGGTGACATGGTACAATGATAATATCTACCTGCGGTAATGCCATGTGCTTTCCGGTGATGTACAAGAATTCATGATTGTAATTTGGCACAGTATAGAGCAAAAAAATGCATTGTGTGCGTTCAAAAGTAAGTTGGCGCACTGCAAAGCGGCAATAATGTACACCATGTGCTGCAGTGCAATGAAACAAAGTAAGTAGTAAGGTAATGCGTTGTAAAATAGAAGTAAAAAGCATACATGTAACCATTCATGATGATGATGATGATGATGACTCGTGATGATGATGATGATGACGACTCGTGATGATGATGATGATGATGACTCGTGATGATGATGATGATGATGATGATGATGACTCGTGATGATGACTCGTGATGATGACTCGTGATGATGACTCGTGATGATGACTCGTGATGATGACTCGTGATGATGACTCGTGATGATGACTCGTGATGATGACTCGTGATGATGACTCGTGATGATGACTCGTGATGATGACTCGTGATGATGATCGTGATGATTTCGTGATGATTCGTGCTGATGATTCGTGCTGATGATTCGTGACGATGATTCGTGATGATGATTCGTGATGATGATTCGTGATGATGATTCGTGTTGATTCGTGAGGATTCGTGATGTTTCATGATGATTTGTACCTGCAAGATGACAAACATGCTGTAAAAACTGATGGCGTTCTACGCCACTGGCCATCTTTTCTTAATGTCTCTTGTATCTTTCAAACAGTGTCTGCCAGCCTCATTCAACATCCGCGCGCTCCAAAGGAACACAATGCCCGCCTTGGTCGCTGAGTACGGCGAGTGCCGGGATACCTAGGCCCTTTGGATGGCTACACCAAAGCAATGGATAGGAAGGCCTTGCAGTCCTCAAAGCAACTGCAATGTCTGCAAATGGGTTTGCTATCCACAAGTCTAACCGAGGCACAGAAAAGCTGAGTTTGCTAACAGCCTGAGTGAATCTTGTTGCGAGTCAAGACTTGCCGAAACTTTCCCAACTTTGCGTTCATTCCGTCCCACACGCAATTTCATGTAGAATTGATATAATCAAGGTTTTAAAAAGAACATTGCTTCCTGTAATAGCTATTTTGCCAAAAAATGTCATAAAAAGCAGGCATCGTTTACGCCGTTGACGTTTTGTCCGAGCAACCATGTTGCATAGCTCCATGTAGGGTCCATGATTCCAATTGTCCCACTTCTCTTGCGAAAACACGCCCTCCTCACAGGAGAAAAAGGCAGACTTGCTCAATGACCTACTTAGAGAGGTCTCGGTTCCCCAGGCGTATTTTTGCTTCACCTTCAGGGACATCTTTTTCACACCATGGGTAATACGGGTAGATGCTGAAGGCTTTTAAGGTTCAACATGGTTCCACTATTCCTTGATATTTTTCGGATGTCGCCATCGTTCTTCCCTTCTTTTTCCTCTTTGTTGCTGTTTGTCTTTATCTGTTTTTCGTTACTTCTGCTTGTACTAGCACGTCTGTGCAAAACTGCTGAGTCATTAAGCAAGGTAGTTCCACTTTCAACGCCTTGTCAAAGACCTCGTGGTGAAACCGTGCATAATTTACCTGCGCATCGTGCACCGCATTTTGCCTCAGCTCAGACGAAGGAGCAAAATGCCCAACAAACTGTGGAAGGATCAAACACATCGTGACTTGAAAGAACACTGTCAAAACCTTAGGCCTTACGAAAGCATATGGGTTCCTGCCATGAACGTCAGTTCAATGCCTTCAAATTGATAGCCCAGAAATTCAGCTGAAAACCTCCAGAGAACCTATCGGATATACGCATGTGGGATCATGTGGGTATAAACAAGCCTTCAACCTCCAAAGATCTACAGCCTCTACGGCCTCTACAAGCAAAATGTTTGATCTTTGCATGTGCAGAAAAACTTTGGATGCCGAGCAGCACGATGTAGTGATTCACATTGTAGAGGATAAATAACTGAAGCCACAAATTCAGAAGTAAAGTCAGCAGGCCGAACACAAAGCGCACCACATTGACCTGCAAAAAAGCGCATGGCACTCGTTTGTTCGACTAATCCCATTTTTTCAAAGCTGTAAGTCCTAACTCAGAAAGTGTGATGAGGAACGTTCAAAAGACGACCTTTCCTTTCTGATCTCTCTGCCTAGCTCGACCCTAGCAAGCTTCTTCGCACTATCCCTGGATCTCCGTGTGGATAAGCTCTCGGTGACTCACAAACAAAGCACATCTTTTGTCTCTGATTTCGGAGAATCCGCAGGATCTGCTTTGAAATCCGAACGGTTCCCAGGTTGCCATCCAAGCCTTTTTCAAAGGCATCAGCATTTCCTGCAGTCCTCACTCTAAGAGACTCTAAGTTTGAAAACACTTCAGTTACTTCGGTTCTCTCCCTATCCATGGCATCGATGCTGACGCAGCGCAGCTTGTACACCTGTGCCTTTATTCTTCCCTGCAGAGTCTGCAAGGCAACGCTTTGGCAGAAACAGTCGGTGTAGATTCTAGATTGTGTTGTGGGTCGAAATCCCTCCAAGTCGAAATTGTAAAAGGCTGACTCATCAAATCTCAAGTTCCCTGGGATCACTGGATGGTCGTGCTTTCAGTATTCCGCCGCACTTGCGCCGTGAGTCCATCAAGTCCCGGCCATGAACTGGATGTCAAAGTAAACGTTGCGCCAATGCTCATTGGGCCATTCATCCAGCTTCTCAGCATCAATGAACAGTTCTTCAAGTTTCTGGATGTTGGCACCTCGAAGCACCACAACTGCACGCCAGGCTGCATACATGAGAATCGCATGACATCATGACAGTACACAAACCATGGAAGAATGGAAACTTCTGAGTTCCATCCACTTCACTTCGGTCGGAATCTTCATATTTGCTCGTGCCTACTGTCTTGGAAATGCGTTCATGTGTTTAGCTCTTTCAGATAATCAGGAAAAGCACAGACCGCAACAAAATGCGTAAGCAAAAACATAAGGCAAATGCACCTGTTGCACCTGTTAAACTGACCGCTACCTCGTCTTGAGGAGACTTAACAAGGTTTCCTTGAAAGCACTTTGTCAGTCAGCACTTGCATTGTTGTTTCCATTCGATGCGCTTTGGACAACAAAATAAGATAAATAAGGGAAGAAGAGCCATGAGGCCCTGATGTTCTACTTGAGCTGAGTCACAAGTTTCTGGAACCTGTCGAATCCTGACTTTGGACTCTGCTCCCTTTTGTGTTCAACAAAAACATATAAAAACTATAAAACAGATGAAAACTGGATTAAAACATGCTGAATCAGAAGAAATGCTTCGCTGGTTTCCACCATGTACCTTCAAGTTCTGTGGACTCAGGTTCCATGACCATTTAAACTGCACTTTGAGCAGGAAGCTCAACTACGTGACACTCTTGTTGCACGTATCAAACATTCAAATCAGATACGTTAAATCTTGAAGTATCTTGGCGTAGTGTCTTCAGCGGAAAACATGGTGTCCTCTCCCTTCAGCGGACCTTGAGGAAGCCTCAAGATCAGGCGAAACTCAATATTTGTCCAAGGGTCCGATTGCGTTCCAAGTCCAACTTTCGAAGCTCGGTGAGGTTGCCGAAGCTGTCAGGTAACGAACAAAGTTTGTTACTCTCCAAGTGAAGCTCCTTCCAGTGGTGGAGGCATTTAGATATCTTTTGGATGTGCTTTCAAATACTTCGAAGGATGTATGGCTAAGTCTTGACTGGATCTTGCATATGGACTCGAATGGATGTGAGACAGCTGCTTGGTAAGAAGGCAATTCTTCCACGCCACTCCTGTTGCTCATTGAGGGTATTCTTAAAAGCTTGCAATCTTACGCACGTGCAGCAGATATTAGCTGCTCTCCATCCTTCAAATTCTTGAGCTGTCCAATGTTGACTGGCAGCTCCATGAGGCAGTTGTCGGTTAGGAAAAGGCCTTGAAGATTTTGCAGCTTTGTGAGACTTCCTGCCAAAAAACTCTTCACAGAGCTCGGGAACACACTGTGCCAAGACTCACAGTCGCATATGAAGTTGTTTGATTCAGAGAACCAGTGGAGTCTGAAACCATGAGGCAAGACAGGGATTGGACAAGGTCCCGTGATTGAATATATAGACATTGCAAGACATTGAAGATTGGACCAAGATAGACTTGCGATTGCATGTTTGCTTCCCTGCTTCCCATTTTCACGCACTCTGGGCCTGGCAAGTAACGGAGGCGATTGTGTTGCACACTGATCTTCTCCAAAGAAATAGGAAAGTCCGGAAGTTCTGTGAGATGATTGACATCCAGTGACAAGCGCTTCAGCTGATAACAGCCCATGAGATTTGACATCCGCCTGCGCTTCATCCAGAAATCAATGCCAACTTAAAAAGCATCTAAAAGCTCTGGGCTTCACCGGCTTCAGCATTCATGTTGATTCATGTTGCACATGTCACAATGTCGGGGATCACAATCACAATGAACTACAGTGAATCACTGCGAACCTTTGTGGATGGAATAGCTTGCGTTTCGAAACAGATTCCAAAGGGCCTTAGAGAGCATCTCTCCAGCTGTAGAAACTCCAAGGAGTCTGGAAGAGAAGGGACCTCCTCACAGATATTCGCCGCAATGAAAACATCAAGTGTGTCATTTTGGGGCGTTGCTGACTAACCTGACGTTCGTCACAAATTGCGAGGATATCATTTCGGGTATGCCGAAGGACCTACGGATGGAACAAGATGGAACAAGATGGAACAAGATGGAACAAGAATGGTCAAATTGTCAAACATTCCTCTGTTCAGATCCAAATTTGATCAAACATTCTTTTGTTAATCTTAGATTACATCTTAGAGTCTTAGATTACATTCTTGTTACATGCTTCAATCTTCTTCGGATTCGGATTCGCTGTGTTCTCTCCTCCAGCTTGGTGGAGCGCACCTGCAACACCTTTCAGCGACCGATCTCCAGCAACGCTACAACCAATACCGATACGCTGAAAACCTTCGTAAGACTTCGTGTCCCACCTGGAGGGTCTTGAGGTCATGAAGTGAAGGCAGCACAGAGATTTTGGTCCTTTCAATGTACAAGACTTGCAATGTTGCTGAAAATATCCGAGGAGGTAGCAACTCCAAGTCCGACGTCTTGATAACGATGCTCCTCGAGTCCAGCGTACACACTTTGCTCGGGGGAAAATGTCAGAAGAGTATACACAGCTGAGCTCAGCTTGGGATGCAATTGTAGCCTGTTCTCTTACTGCCATGTCTTCTGTGGCAAGATGAGCAAACGATAACAAACAATATATGACAAACAAAATGAATAGAGTTCGGAAAATGCATTCCACCCATTTCGACCCGATTATAGGCTATTTTCAGCCCAACGGCTTTAAGTGTGCCATCTCTCCAATGTGTTCTGGCAGTCTGGGGTGTCGCCAGCCACTCAGCTCAAGGCTGCGAAGTGTTGCTACCTCCTTGGAGACAAGACTCAAAAAGACTCAACAAGACCAAAGCAATCTGCACAATCGTAAGAAATCCCCAAAAATAGCAACACACAAGCACAGAGCCTGGAAATCCAAGAGGTTGAGGTGCTGCACAAATGCATCTTCCAGTGGATCTGCTTGCACACAGACCTGAGAAATTGGCATCGATTCTGAAAGCCCGAGAAGTGATCTAAGGACTGAAAACATATTTCCTATCGTGTCTTATCTACATGCAGAGAAACCGATGTTGGTAAAGAGAAGGAACCGCGTCTTTGACCGAGGTACTTGTACTTCGTCGTCGCCAAGTTCCTCAAAGTTGCTGGCAGTGGTCAAAAGCTGCAACTGGCTCGGCGCCACCGAAAGCTTCAATGCAAAAGCTTCACGAACTTCCTGCAGGCCCAGACTGGCAATTGGACCTCGATAAAAATGTATACAAAGAATATGATATGTAGAAATAGTATGTGTATAATATGTGTATAATATAATATAATATAATATAATATAATATAATGTAAAATATAAGATAAGATAATATAAGATAATATAATATAATATAATAAGATAGTATAGTATAGTATAGTATAGTATATAATAATATAGTATAGTATAGTATAATATAATTTAATATAATATAATATTATATTATATTATATTATATATAATAATATATAATATAATATAATATTATATAATATAATACCATATAATATAATATAATATAGTATAATATAATATAATATAGTATAGTATAATATAATTTAATATAGTATAACATATTAACATATATACTGTGTATATATATAATTAAAAACCCCTGTGCTTTTTGGGTCTTGTCGCCACCGTGCCCTGCATGACTCCTACAAAATGATGCTGGAATGTGGCAATCAGGCTTTGCGTATGCGCTGATTTTTTTGTAAGGTCCCAAGAGACCAATGTGGCCCCCTGAGGCCCTGCTTCTATAAACTGCACTGACTGCACTGACTACACCATGCTCATTTTGTAGCAGCTGTAGCATTCTATTCTGCCCCATTTTGTTGCTGGATGATGATCCGATGTGGCCCCATTTTCTTAGTTCCTGTTGCAGGTGGGTTCCTTTGCAATGATCGATTTGTCTAGTGTTGTTGGTCTAGGGTTTCTGGTTCTACTTTGTTTGGGCGGGTATAGCGTGGTCGAAAGCCACAAACACATTATGAGAATTATGTGATTTTGACATGTTTTTACCTGGGTTTGTTTGTGTCACCCGCTTGGTCTTTTCGGCTTGGTTCAGACACTTTCTGACTTCGCACAAAAGTCTTTGTCCCGAACCGGCTTGTGTCAGCTGCCGATCCACTACTTGGTTCAGACATAGATTAAATTCTCTCAGGTCTAGATAATTGTATGTCCAACCCACTTTTCAGACTTTAAGATCCATTAAAGTGTAATCCCTGAAGAGGTTGACCCCACCCATTCTCAAGATTCTCAAGGACATTTCAACACTGCGGGTGACCCATTTTTGAGATGTCATATACCGTAACACAAGCTGCTGCAAGTTGTACTTCCAATCTCTAACCTTGTTTATCACACTTCAATCACACAAAAACTTGCTACAACGGGCTCACATGACCTGTAGAAAATGTAAACCGACATTAGCTGTTCAATCCCTACAATTACCCTGAAAATGTCTCAAAAAGACGGTTGTAGAAAGCACGTGCTAAGCATTTTTGTAGTTGAGTTCATAACGGGGCTTACAACTGTGTATACATGGTATTTTCATTATGTCACTTTATGTCAATGTGTAGCGCGGCTAAGTTCAAATTAGCCGATCTTTTTTGGGTTCAAAATCCAGTTGCAGACACTGAGCCGATGAAAGTCAGCGCTCCTCCAGAGTGTCGCAGTTTGCCTCCAAAATTTTGCCACTCAGCAGCCGAAAGGTGGGAGCCATCAAAGCAATGTTTGAATCCGAAGTCAGATTGATTCTCTCAATGTTGTGGCATGCTGTGGTCATTTCTGGTTATTTTTTGCCCCCTGTCAGAATTGTATGCTCAAGACACATGGTTCCACGGTTCCATGTACCATTATATGTATGTATGTATGTATGTATGTATGTATGTATGTATGTATGTATGTATGTATGTATGTATGTATGTATGTATGTAATTGATTGTATTGGATTGTATTGTATTGTAATGTCATGTCATGTCATGTCATGTCATGTCATGTATGTCATGTCATGTCATGTCATGTCATGTCATGTCATGTCATGTCATGTATGTATGTATGTATGTATGTATGTATGTATGTATGTATGTATGTATGTATGTATGTATGTATGTATGTGTATGTATATGTGTATATATATATATGTATATATATATATGTATATATATATATGTATATATATATATGTATATATATGTATATATATATATATGTAAATATATATATATGTATATATATATTTATATATATTTATATATATATTTATATATATATATATTTATATATATATTTATATATATGCGATTCAGAAGCTTGCACCAACCAATTCTCAGACAATTGACGTAATGTCCTCGAGCCAACACTCTACTCGGTCAAGTCATGTACCTCGAGTACCGATTCATTTGTTTTACCTTTCAAGTCGGGAAAACATGACGGTCAACACCATTGGATATGATATGAGAAGTAGACAATTATTCAAGCTTTGTCTTCTCGAAAAAACTGTTGGTCTCTGTTTGTCTCGCTTTTGTCTGTGTCCGTGTCCTTGCCTTGGTCGCGCTATCAAAGCCCAGGATAAGTGGCAAATCTCCGACAGATACAGCGATTGCCACACCGTAGATGTCTTTGGGTAAATCGACATAGAGTTTCCGTTCCTGCACAAAAGATGTACATGGAAACCACGCATACATTGATATATAATAATATATATATATGACATATATATATATATACACATAGTGTATATGTACCAAAAAATAAAGCAAAGAAATTCTAAGTAACTCAACTTGGAGCGAGAATGTGCAAAATGTGCCATGGTACTTGCGACACTTCCAACACGTCGCAGAAGTGTTTCACCGATGAAACTTGATCTGCAAGACCAGTCCTGGTACAGCTGCTCCAAAGTTATGAAGCCTTCATCTCTGGATCTGACCCGGAGTTGGTCTTCTTTGCTTGCCATTGCTCCGCAAAGTGACCAGTAAAATACAGGCGGCGCCCAGAAACTGTGGGTCCTAGACTATGGAGCGCCTTTTGCAATATGTTTTCTTGTGCATAACATGACTTCAATGATCAAATAAATTATATTTATACATAACTTGATGCTACTCTCTTTGTGGAACTTTATCCGCGAGATATGTTGTTCCTACTCGAACTGCTTACAGTTTACATGTGTTTTTGGGCCACAGGCACGCTTTTGCAGGAGATATATTTGCTCAATCCGCAGCGTTTTGTTGAAAGATGCCATGTACGTAATGCATTGAGAATTGAGGGGATATTCGGCCATCCGCACCAAATACAACACATCTCAGTTACATGAGGGACTAGCCAATTTATTCACAAATTCAAGGTTACTACTCCAAAAAATGATGTTCCCATCTCCTATGTGGGTATCTTGGGTGTGACACCATGTCTGTTTAAACCGAAGCACATAGGTTTCAACACCTTGGAATGCCGACACTTGGGTCCCAGCTTTCCGCCCAAGCACCCGAGAGCATGGCCCGAAAGTACTCAGAGCGTAGTTGCCTTGGCCGGAGGAGCTGACGCGACAGACGGGTGGACGGCCAGACCCTCACTTGCGCGCCCGAAATTTCACTCACTTAAGGGTCCTCACTCACTTGCGCACCTAGTGAACAAAATGTCACTCTCGCGCACCCTCATCATCTCTCATTCTGGGCAAGCTCACTGCACTTTCATCATTTTTCGCTGTGGGGTGCGGTGGGGTGAGGTGGGACAAAAACGCTCGTGTTCCTGTGCACACACAGGCACCGCAACCTCATCATTTTTCTTGCTGTCCTGCAGACACAAGCACTGCTCTTTCGTGATCAGTTACCGGTGGGGTGGGGTGGGGTGGGGTGGGACAAAAACGTTCTTCTGCTCTCGTGCAGACACAGGCACTGCTCTTTCATGATCAGTTACCGGTGGGGTGGGGTGAGGTGGGACAATAACGTTCATGTTCCTGTGCGCACACAGGCACCGCAACCTCATCATCTTTCCTGCTGTCCTGCAGACACAAGCACTGCTCTTCATGATCAGTTACCGGTGGGGGTGGTGGTGGGGTGCGACAAAAACGTTCTTTTGCTCTCGTGCAGAAACAAGGCACTGCTCTTTCATGATCAGTTACCGGTGGGGGTGGGGTGTGGTGGGGGGACAATAACGTTCATGTTCCTGTGCGCACACAGGCACCGCAACCTCATCATCTTTCATGCTGTCCTGCAGACACAAGCACTGCTCTTCATGATCAGTTACCGGTGGGGTGGGGTGGGGTGGGGTGCGACAATAACGTGCTTCTGCTCTCGTGCAGACACAGGCACTGCTCCTTCATGATCAGTTAATCCTCGAGCCTACACATTTGGCGGCTCAACAAATCAAGACACCGACGTGATGGACACGCGCGCACCACGCAACGGATGCCCATACAAAAAGAATCACGCAACGGATGACTGAGGTGAACCTTCTTTAATTTTGTGATGATGATGATGATGATGATGATGATGATGGTGATGGTGATGGTGATGGTGATGATGATGACGATGATGATGATGATGGTGGTGATGATGATGATGGTGATGATGATGATGATTTTCATGGGTGTACAAGCGAGGGAAAAAGTGGGTGTACAAGCGAGTGAAAATCGGGGCGTACAAGCGATGGAAATGGATGGAACAGATTCATTCCTTTTCTGACTTCTTTTCATGTTTCACGTCTTATCACGTCTTGCAGAGTCCTAGAGCGAATCACGAAATCACTTACGTAAAAATACACCTTAGGGATATAAAGATTGGGTGCCAAACAAACAGAAATGGGCAAAGCGGAGAGCCACTGCATACTGTAATATACTGTATCATTTTGAGATAGTATTCCAGGGAACCACCCGCCCTTTCCTGTAATAAGGATTTTCATCAAACATGGTGAAGAAGTCACATGGCGAAGTGATCAAGATTTTGATCATGAAAGACGTTGTGGCCAAACTCCACCACATTGAGTTCGTCTTCAGTCTGATGTGTCTTCAGCACTGCATGTGTTCTAACGTTTTGTACATGTTGTACATTTTGTACATTTTGTACATTTTGTCCATAATCATGTGTTCTTCTTCTCATCTACATAATTTACATAATCATTTCAATCATCTTCTCATCATGTCCCGGTGTTCTCCGAGCGACAGGAGTGCCGTGAGTCCGCCCTCCAGTGGCACCTCCATATCCTGAGCGACAAGCCTAGTGACATGGCCTGACCACTACAGATCTCATCGGATCTCACAGTAACTTACAGTAAACCCTTAGTAAACCCTGCCCTTGGGAGTTTCCGAGCCGATTCCATCCGATTCCTACGTTCTGAGAGTTATGGGTTCCTCTTTCACTTGAACAACTTCCCACATGAACCCACTTGCACCACATCTCCACACAGGGGAAAATTAAGGACCTCATCATCTCGAGTGTCTCCTTTGTTTGACCTCATTGCTGAAGCAGAATCAGCATCAGAATTATAAGATATCCGCCGACCCTGGCCTTCGCCAAGGCAGGGGCGGCGCCTGGGAATACCGGAGGTGTGGAACCTGCTTTGTCTTTGCTGCTCCAGGGTTGCAGCCTGCCGTTTGCCTGCACATCCCTCGCGGCAGCTTCCACCAAGCTCCTGGCCGTCAGCGTTCCAGCATTGCAGCCTGCCCTTTGCCTGCACATGGCGCTCTCTTGTTACGGCATTCGAGCCTGCCGTTTGCCAGGCTTCAAACCCCTAAAACCCCTAAAACCCTCCAATTCCTTCGCGGCATCTTCCACCAAGCCTGGCCGTCAGCCTTTGCTGCTCCAGGGTTGCTGCTCTTTCCTGGCCGTCAGCGTTCCAGCATTGCAGCCTGCCCTTTGCCTGCACAGCCTTCTCTTGTCAGGGCATTCGAACCTGCCGTTTGCCAGGCTTCAAATGCCTAAAACCCTCCGCGGCAGCTTCCACCAAGCCTGGCCGTCAGCCTTTGCTGCTCCAGGGTTGCTGCTCTTTCCTGGCCGTCAGCGTTCCAGCATTGCAGCCTGCCCTTTGCCTGCACAGCCTTCTCTTGTTAGGGCATTCGAGCCTGCCGTTTGCCAGGCTTCAAACCCTTAAAACCCTCCGCGGAAGCTTCCACCAAGCCTGGCCGTCAGCCTTTGCTGCTCCAGGGTTGCTGCTCTTTCCTGGCCGTCAGCGTTCCAGCATTGCAGCCTGCCCTTTGCCTGCACAGCCTTCTCTTGTTAGGGCATTCGAGCATGCCGTTTGCCAGGCTTCAAACCCCTAAAACCCTCCGCGGCAGCTTCCACCAAGCCTGGCCGTCAGCCTTTGCTGCTCCAGGGTTGCTGCTCTTTCCTGGCCGTCAGCGTTCCAGCATTGCAGCCTGCCCTTTGCCTGCAAAGCTTTCTCTTGTTAGGGCATGCGAGCCTGCCGTTTGCCAGGCTTCAAACCCCTAAAACCCTCCGCGTCAGCTTCCACCAAGCCTGGCCGTCAGCCTTTGCTGCTCCAGGGTTGCTGCTAAAACCCCCCGCGGCAGCTTCCACCAAGCCTGGCTGTCAGCCTTTGCTGCTCCAGGGTTGCTGCTCTTTCCTGGCCGTCAGCATTCCAGCATTGCAGCCTGCCCTTTGCCTGCACAGCCTTCTCTTGTTAGGGCATTCGAGCCTGCCGTTTGCCAGGCTTCAAACCCCTAAAACCCGTAAAACCCTCCGCGGCAGCTTCCACCAAGCCTGGCCGTCAGCCTTTGCTGCTCCAGGGTTGTGCTGCTCTTTCCTGGCAGTCAGAGTTCCAGCATTGCAGCCTGCCATTTGCACTGCACAGCCTTCTTTGGTAGGGACATTCGAGGCCTGCCGTTGCCAGGCTCACATGCCTCCTAAAAACCTCAGCGGAAGCTCACCAACATGGCGTCAGCCTTTGATGCTCCAGGGGTTGCGCTCTTTCCTGGCAGTCAGGTTCCAGATTGCAGGCTGCCCTTTGCAGCACAAGCTTCTCTATTGTTTAGGGCATGCGGAAGCTGCGTTGCCAGGCTTCAAAACCATAAAACACTACGCGAAAGATTCCACCAAGCGCTGGCCGTCAGACTTGCCTGACTCCAGGGTTGTGCGCTTTTCACTGGCCGTCAGCGTTCCAGCATTGCAGCCTGCACTTTGCATGCACAGCTTCTCTTTGTTAGGGCATTTCGAGCCTGCCGTTTGCCAGGCTTAAAACTAAAACCCTCATTCCTTACGCGGTTAGCGGCAGCTGGCCACCAAGACCTGGCGTCAGCCTCTTGCTGCTCCAGGTTGCGGTCTTTAATGGCCGTCATGCGTTCAGCATTGCAGACTGCCCTTTGTCTGCACCAGTTTTCTGTTAGGGCATTTCGAGTTGCCGTTTGCCAGATTGCAAACCCCTAAAACCCCGCGGCAGCTTCCACCAAGCATGGCGTGAGCCTTTGCTGCTCCAGTGTTGCTGCTTGTTCCGGCCGTCAGCTTTCCAGCATTGAAGCCTGCCTTTTGCCTGCACAGCTCTCTTGTAGGCATGCGAGCCTGCCGTTTGCCAGGCTTCAAACCCCTAAAACCCCTAAAACCCTCCGCGGCAGCTTCCACCAAGCCTGGCCGTCAGCCTTTGCTGCTCCAGGGTTGCTGCTCTTTCCTGGCCGTCAGCGTTCCAGCATTGCAGCCTGCCCTTTGCCTGCACAGCCTTCTCTTGTTAGGGCATTCGAGCCTGCCGTTTGCCAAGGGTTGCTGCTCTTTCCTGGCCGTCAGCGTTCCAGCATTGCAGCCTGCCCTTTGCCTGCAAAGCTTTCTCTTGTTAGGGCATGCGAGCCTGCCGTTTGCCAGGCTTCAAACCCCTAAAACCCCTAAAACCCTCCGCGGAAGCCTGGCCGTCAGCCTTTGCTGCTCCAGGGTTGCTGCTCTTTCCTGGCCGTCAGCGTTCCAGCATTGCAGCCTGCCCTTTGCCTGCACAGCCTTCTCTTGTTAGGGCATTAGAGCATGCCGTTTGCCAGGCTTCAAACCCCTAAAACCCTCTAAAACCATCCGCGGCAGCTTCCACCAAGCCTGGCTGTCAGCCTTTGCTGCTCCAGGGTTGCTGCTCTTTCCTGGCCGTCAGCGTTCCAGCATTGCAGCCTGCCCTTTGCCTGCACAGCCTTCTCTTGTTAGGGCATTCGAGCCTGCCGTTTGCCAGGCTTCAAATGCCTAAAACCCTCCGCGGCAGCTTCCACCAAGCCTGGCCGTCAGCCTTTGCTGCTCCAGGGTTGCTGCTCTTTCCTGGCCGTCAGCTTTCCAGCATTGCAGCCTGCCCTTTGCCTGCACAGCCTTCTCTTGTTAGGGCATTCGAGCCTGCCGTTTGCCAGGCTTCAAACCCCTAAAACCCTCCGCGGCAGCTTCCACCAAGCCTGGCCGTCAGCCTTTGCGGCTCCAGGGTTGCTGCTCTTATACCTGGCCGTCAGCGTTCCAGCATTGCAGCCTGCCCTTTGCCTGCACAGCTTTCTCTTGTTAGGGCATTCGCCTGCCGTTTGCCAGGCTTCAAACCCCTAAAACCCTCCGCGGCAGCTTCCACCAAGCCTGGCCGTCAGCCTTTGCTGCTCCAGGGTTGCTGCTCTTTCCTGGCCGTCAGCATTCCAGCATTGCAGCCTGCCCTTTGCCTGCACAGCCTTCTCTTGTTAGGGCATTCGAGCCTGCCGTTTGCCAGGCTTCAAATGCCTAAAACCCTCCGCGGCAGCTTCCACCAAGCCTGGCCGTCAGCCTTTGCTGCTCCAGGGTTGCTGCTCTTTCCTGGCCGTCAGCGTTCCAGCATTGCAGCCTGCCCTTTGCCTGCACAGCTTTCTCTTGTTAGGGCATTCGAGCCTGCCGTTTGCCAGGCTTCAAATGCCTAAAACCCTCCGCGGCAGCTTCCACCAAGCCTGGCCGTCAGCCTTTGCTGCTCCAGGGTTGCTGCTCTTTCCTGGCCGTCAGCGTTCCAGCATTGCAGCCTGCCCTTTGCCTGCACAGCCTTCTCTTGTTAGGGCATTCGAGCCTGCCGTTTGCCAGGCTTCAAATGCCCGTAAAACCCTCCGCGGCAGCTTCCACCAAGCCTGGCCGTCAGCCTTTGCTGCTCCAGGGTTGCAGCCTGCCCTTTCCTGGCCGTCAGCGTTCCAGCATTGCAGCCTGCCCTTTGCCTGCACAACTTGTTTAGGGCATTCGAAGCAGTCAGCCTGCCCTTTGCCTTTCTCTTGTTAGGGCATTCGAGCCTGCCGTTTGCCAGGCTTCAAATGCCTAAAACCCTCCGCGGCAGCTTCCACCAAGCCTGGCCGTCAGCCTTTGCTGCTCCAGGGTTGCTGCTCTTTCCTGGCCGTCAGCGTTCCAGCATTGCAGCCTGCCCTTTGCCTGCACAGCCTTCTCTTGTTAGGGCATTCGAGCCTGCCGTTTGCCAGGCTTCAAACCCCTAAAACCCTCCGCGGCAGCTTCCACCAAGCCTGGCCGTCAGCCTTTGCTGCTCCAGGGTTGCTGCTCTTTCCTGGCCGTCAGCGTTCCAGCATTGCAGCCTGCCCTTTGCCTGCACAGCTTTCTCTTGTTAGGGCATTCGAGCCTGCCGTTTGCCAGGCTTCAAACCCTAAAACCCTCCGCGGCAGCTTCCACCAAGCCTGGCCGTCAGCCTTTGCTGCTCCAGGGTTGCTGCTCTTTCCTGGCCGTCAGCGTTCCAGCATTGCAGCCTGCCCTTTGCCTGCACAGCCTTCTCTTGTTAGGGCATTCGAGCCTGCCGTTTGCCAGGCTTCAAACCCCTAAAACCCTCCGCGGCAGCTTCCACCAAGCCTGGCCGTCAGCCTTTGCTGCTCCAGGGTTGCTGCTCTTTCCTGGCCGTCAGCGTTCCAGCATTGCAGCCTGCCCTTTGCCTGCACAGCCTTCTCTTGTTAGGGCATTCGAGCCTGCCGTTTGCCAGGCTTCAAATGCCTAAAACCCTCCGCGGCAGCTTCCACCAAGCCTGGCCGTCAGCCTTTGCTGCTCCAGGGTTGCTGCTCTTTCCTGGCCGTCAGCGTTCCAGCATTGCAGCCTGCCCTTTGCCTGCACAGCCTTCTCTTGTTAGGGCATTCGAGCCTGCCGTTTGCCAGGCTTCAAACCCCTAAAACCCTCCGCGGCAGCTTCCACCAAGCCTGGCCGTCAGCCTTTGCTGCTCCAGGGTTGCTGCTCTTTCCTGGCCGTCAGCGTTCCAGCATTGCAGCCTGCCCTTTGCCTGCACAGCTTTCTCTTGTTAGGGCATTCGAGCCTGCCGTTTGCCAGGCTTCAAACCCCTAAAACCCTCCGCGGCAGCTTCCACCAAGCCTGGCCGTCAGCCTTTGCTGCTCCAGGGTTGCTGCTCTTTCCTGGCCGTCAGCGTTCCAGCATTGCAGCCTGCCCTTTGCCTGCACAGCCTTCTCTTGTTAGGGCATTCGAGCCTGCCGTTTGCCAGGCTTCAAACCCCTAAAACCCTCCGCGGCAGCTTCCACCAAGCCTGGCCGTCAGCCTTTGCTGCTCCAGGGTTGCTGCTCTTTCCTGGCCGTCAGCGTTCCAGCATTGCAGCCTGCCCTTTAACTTTAACAGACCTGGATAAGTCGAATTGTAAAGACAGAACCTGTTGGTGGGACAACCTTCCCACCCATGGCACTGGCACTGGCAAGGAGTACCGGAGTAGTGACCGGGGCGCCCTTGAAAGGGGGTCGGCGGCACCAGGGCGTTAGCCCATTCTATTATAAGCATAAGCCCAACGGGTCAAATTCATGGTGGTTTCACACTCAGTGGGACCTTGTCTAAATGGTGTCCCAAATCATGGCTTCAAACGTCCAATATATCCAGCTCTTCTGAGATACCAACCATGCAGGGCAACGGAAGCTGAAACGGCCCTTCAGAGCATTGTTGCGATAGGCAGTCAGGAGATCCTGGTCGGCGCAGCGGACCGTGGGCATACCGTGTTGGCTTGATCTAGCGTCCCGTTCCCCATAAGGCAACTGTTTGCGGCAGAAGGCTTTACAATGCTTTACTTGTCACCACAACTTCATCTCAGAAGCTCTTTTCCAAGGCATAGCCCTAAGTCGAATTGATACAATATGATCACTTTATGACTGTATGCTCTAGACTCTACACCAAATGCACTGCGTCCTCTGGAAGGGTACCTGCTCCTCGTGCGCGACTCCGTTTTGCCATAATTCGCTCCTTCAAGAGGTCGAATAAGCAGCTTTGAGATTCAAGCAGTCATTTCCAAGACATAGCAGTCACTTAAGGACATGAAGCTCAGTATCTCTTGGAGATTGATTTGCTTCTGTTTGCTAGTATTGTGCCTAGAAACTGACAATCGGGAAGGAAAAAAAGCATCTCCTGTAGCTCACCAACATCTCGTAGTCCCCATCCTCTCAGTCAGCTCTAAGTCTGAAAGTAAAGTATTGCCCGCAAAAGAGTATAAAAGAGTATTAGTTGAACAGTGTATAATAAAGCAGCACGGCATGGCCTCCCTTCGGGTTACCAGGGACAGTCGACAAGCAAGGCCCTGCTACACTGCACATGCCCTTACCAGGAGATAAATCAGGGCTGGCCACCGCGCGGACAATGATTTGCAACGCTGACGAACCGATGAAAATACGAGCATAACCACTTGAATGTTAGGAGGATAACAGTACACCAGCATAGACACCAGAAAGCAAAAGGATGTTGATGCTTTTTTCTGCAGTTTTCAACCAGACACTTAGGTTCCGCACTGTACTTGAAAAAAAAGAAAAACAACAGCACATCATAGGAACGTGGGGCCACCATATTGACAGGCAAGCTGTTGCAGGAGACCATAACTGGCCACTCCACTGAAATTTTGCTGAGAAGTGACCCTGGTGTTTTGCAGCTGGAACAATGATGAACAATCAGTATCCACCGACCGTAAACCGAAAAATCGCTCCGTGAGGGTTGGGCAAACGTGGGTCCCTGATCCCCAAAGCTCAGAACAGCACTACCCAGCACTACCCAATGGCAAGCCCCCGCAAGGCCCGTAATGTTGTCATAAAGCAAATGATCTCCAACTCTTGGCTTGCGCACTTTCTGCCAAGCGAACAATACGCGCAAAATGCTCAATGTCTCCATCTCCCGAAGTCAAAGGACGGTCCTGATGCCGAGTTTGAGCTTTCAAACGAGTCCAAGTTCGTCTCAAAAGGTCAGAACAATCTGTGTATATCTGTGGCATTTTCTTTCACACTCCTGCACCCGTGCCGCATAAACCCATTGCAAGAGGGGCAGGACCACAGAGAGCCTTGAGTGTGGCCACAAGATCATTCAGAAATGTTTGAAAGACCTGTCTTTGTTTTTGTTCCATGTACATCCCCAGCCCCTTTTTATCACATGTTGTCACTGCTGGGTCGTCGACTCCTCACCGGCTGCGGCCTGTGGTTGTGCTCTTTGAGAATCCAAATTTGTCATGTCGTATGTTGAGTATGTCGAGTTCGTTGCACTGAGACTGGACCGGAAGCAGTTCCAAGCAGGCGACCCATGGTACCAGTACTGTTTATAATTGCTCAAGTCTCCAGCAGTCACCAATTTGTAAGTTTGCTTTCCAAATTTCTAAGTTCGGGCGGCAACTTCAATCCTTCAAATCAACATCCAGTGTAATTCGTTGGACTTGTGAAGACTGCAAGAATTATATAGTTTCAAGATGTTAGAAGCATTGGATGCTTATACTGAACTTATACTTTGATTATCTTGATTCCTTCAGCTTGGAAACATAGGTGGTGCAGACGCTGCCCACCGAGCGGATGCCGAGACGAAGGCACAGGCACCTGTGGGCCCTTAGGGCAACGTGCTCGCAGCAAGCCATCAAGGCATGGCCTCAGCCATGATGAAAACCAAAACCTCGAAAATCTGCGCCATGGAAAACAGAACTTTGGCATGGCTTCGGAATATGTAGTCTTGTCCCCTGGACCAGGCTTGGAAGATCTTGGAAGTACATTTCCATTCTTTTTGAGATGTTGTCGCTGTTGTCATCCTGTTGTCCTTGATTTCACTGGGAATCTGAACACAGCATGGCCGTCGGTGGTCATCAAAGTGATCATCTCATTCTGGTCGCAGAAGTCATCAGATCCTTGCACAACTCAGCGTCGATGGACGTCAGTCGCGGAATTTGACCACAAATACTGCAGCCCTTGCAACAAAGCATACAACATCAGCCAGTTTTCTTAGCATTTTTGTTTGTTTGTTTTTGAGGCCATAGCTAGGCTTTCTTTTTCCTGGATAGTGATGTTCCAAACATTCATGCCTTCACTGCCTTCACTCTTTCATGGATTCGCCGCTCCTGGAGGACAAATCGCTGCAAGTGCCGCTGCGAGTGCCATCGCTGCAACCACGATTTCTGCGCTCCACTGGGCGATCAAAAAACATCAAAAACTCCCCACTGTGCCAAGTGTTTGAAGTGAAGTGGCTCCATCCCTGCCATGCCCATACAAATGCCCTGAGGTCGCAGCTTTAGCTCAAAGCAAAGCTGTGCAAGCCAAAAAGAAACGGTGGTGATCATTGGGATTGTAGTTGGTTGCACCTCAAAAGCTGCAACCAACAAATGTATCTATATACTGAATAATGTATGTGTATATATAATATCAAAAGAATTCAAGGGTTTGGACAATACCATCTGCCGAAATGAGGGCAGGACATTGTTCCGGAGAACAGGTTTGAAACGGCCATCTATGCTGATCCCTAAAGCAAGACACAAATGAGAAGTAGCAAGGGAGAACTCGGGAGAACCAAGTCTTTGGAAAAATAGGATGGAATAAAAATCCCAGACAGCACAGCAGCTCCGGTTTGTCTCTTGCAGGCAAGCAGAGAGTGAAAACCTATCTGAAAATCGAGATGCATGGTGCATCCTTGCTTGTGAAACGGAGAGCTTTCCAGATTCCAACGTAAGATGTTGACGGTGTGACAAAGATGTACAAAGATGTACCACATGTCTACACATGTCCTTGCTTGTCCTTATGCACTTGCCTTTTTTTCTACCGTCTGCCTGATGTTAAAGACAGTCCAAAAAATGCAGCAAAGAGCTCAAGTGGCATTCTGCTCCAGGGGAAAGGTGGAACATGTTGCAAACAAATACTCAAATGACTCAAGTGACTCAAGTGACTCAAGTGACTCAGGAACCAAATTGAAAGGGAGATTCGAGTGGATCCCAGCGCGAGTCTAAGCACCGACTTTGGCCTGGCGATCGGACCCTGAGGTTTGAGTTCACAAACACAGAAGCATCGGAGTCCATGGCATAGTAAGACAATGTGAAACGTATTGGACCTAGTTGGACCTAGTTGCCTAGTGGGCATTCAAAGGCTTTAGCCTGGTTTGAGAATGCGACGCATCACCTTTTTTGTGTATGCAAAAAACATGCCAACTGTAAGCTGTTTGCAAGTATTCTCGCTTCATTGAAGACTGCCTTGCACCAGCTTGAAAATGTTCACAAATATTTTGATTTTCAAATGTCGACTTGGAGTCGACATCCAAGAACTGAAAAATGTGACTTCACTGGTGGTGTCTGGGGATTTCTGTAGCGGGTCACCTCAGGGTGTTCGATGTACCGATTTCAACACTAAGCAAGGAGAAAGGGATAGAAAGGGATAGAAAGGGTAAAAATCGTCAGTTTGAAAGCGCTTGGCACCTTTGCGGCATTCAAGCGCTTTAGCAAGTCCTCTCACCGTGCGACAGGTTTGTTCTGCCTCTCTCTCTCTCTCTCTTTCTCTCTCTTTCTCTCTTTCTCTGTGTTTCCCTATCACTCTCATGTTCATGAAATTGTTACAAGCAAAGTTCGAGATTCAAATCCTTCGGTTGGATGCAAAATTGAATGGTCTTCGAGAATGTGTCAAACTACTGCACACAAGACTATGGGGTGACACAGCTTCGTCTAAGGCTTAAGCAAGAAAAATGAAGTGAAACTGCACCTACTGATTTGAAGCATGTTTAAGCACTTTAAAACTGTCTTTCTGGTTGTCAGCACACCATCACTAGTCATCACTTGCTCCTGCATCTCAGGTTCCTGGTTCACTTGGCCAGGGCTGATGCCACACTCGATCAGCTCCTCAAAGCACTTTCTTTATTCGGTGTCTGAAGGCATCAAGTTCTTCATGGATATCTGAAACATAGCGGCATAGCTAGCATAGAGTTGAATGTTCACAGTTGACCGGAAAAACCAGCGTAGACCTCCAACATATGACATGACATGCACATGCTGCAGGGGTCGTGCACATCCAACGTCGCAAAACCATGGGGAAAGGTCTAGGATCAGAGCTGAATCTTGGGCAGATTTTGAGGCCCATGAGCACAATGTCTTTGGTTTTTTATATATATGAAAATCAACCACTAGGCCCCTTCCTCCTTTTTTGGCCTTGAACGGTGTCACAAGAACCTTCATGGAGGCTTGGATGTCTTATGATTGCTCTATGCTGACCAATGCTTTTGTGATTGTGTCTGTGTGTGTGTGTGTCGTGTTTTTAGCGTAGCACCATGTAAAGAACCCGTTGTCATATAAAGCTGGTGGAATGTGCTTTAGATATCTTTAGCCAAACAGGCATTTGTTGCACAATGGGATGTTGACTTGATGCTTTATCACGTGCTTGCCTCTATCAAGCAGCAAGTTGCTCGATTCAGGTCGTTTCAAGACCATACACTTTCTGAAATCCATGTTTGTCATGCTGAATGGGAACTCTTCAAAACAAAGACATCAAAGTAACCAAAGTAACCAAAGGCTCGCTTCATGTGTCCTCGACCCTGTCCTCTACACTCCTTTGTTTTTTGTTTTCTTGTGTGTATGACTGACGCATGCTGCAACAACGAGGATGGTCCTCCCGCATTTCCTTCATCTCTGCCTCAATGGCTTTGACTTCATCATCCTGCGCTCGTGCCAGCACTGAGGTTTTTAAAGTGAGCTACCAGGACCTGTACCTGTTGAGCTGAAACTCTACCGTAGGTTCTGGGAAGGAAAAACAAATGGTCTTTGCTGTCTGGAGTGAAGTTGCATGGACATGTGTCCACTCTACCCTACAGAAAGCTTAATTGCAAGAAAAGAGGCATTGTCCACATTGTCCGTGCACACCTAACAATATCCTCTTGTAAAACTGCGATCCGCCTGCAACCCTGGGATTTTGCCACGTTCAAAAGCGGGGTGACCACTGGAGTCCTCGTCTGCCGGTGCTTCCTCTTCTTCCTCTTCCTCTTCTTCCACTTCCTCTTCCTCGAGTGCTCCCTTCTGGACGGCCTGCATGTTGCAATACATTGGGCAAATTGTTGCAATACAATAGCCATCAGACCTATCAATAAGGCATGCCCCTACAGCAGCGTGTTGCGGAAATCAGCTATCGGTGTGCATCTCCATACCTGGTTGTGTTGGCAGACTCCTCTACATGACAATGTTGTTGTTGTTGTTGTTGTTGGATCTGTATTGCAAGTATGCTCAAGCACTGCATAAAGTGCAAGATCAAAAAAATGCGTGCAGATTACAGGCCTGGTAAAGCACTTCCCCTGTTTCCCTACATATGTTTGGTGTCATGGTATCAGTCGCATTGACTGTATGCTGCATTTTCTGTTGCAAGACAGGTCGGTTGATGCAAGAACTTTGTCGGCCATCCTGGCCCCTATCAGACCCCACCTTCTTGCCGCCAGCCTCCTGGGAGAGAACAAAAATTCTGGTTGTTTCTGACTTATAGATAATCTAATTAATGTTTAAGGATGTTTATAGTTAATGGTTGAATAAAATTGATCTTATCTTCCTTGACACAATCTATCAGCGACTCCCAGTCACACATGTCCGGCAATTCGATGGTGTTTGCTTTAGAGCTTTGGAATGGCTAAATCTGTTGTCACAGTGCTCTCTGTGATCCTCGCAGTATCCTTTCCTGTCCTCGCACTTGAACTGCTTTGTTTTTCACACTTGGATCTCCAAAACGACCTTCACCATTCAGTTATTCAGTTGTTCAGTTGTTCAGTTGTTCAGTTGTTTTCGGTGTCTCCTCGATAATCTGCTTGAGGAGTGCTCTGTCTGGACCTAGGACTTTTCTCAATTGTTCAATCTGGACACGGACATGATAGGACTAGCATGACATTTGTGGTCAGCCTGGACCCTCAGCCTGGACCGAAGCCATGCTGGAGAGCACAACAATTCTGGGAACTCCACCCTGGCCCAGAAGCATGATCAAATCACCTCAATTGCGTTGGAGGAAACGATTCTCATTCACTTGAAATAACTAAGATGATTAAGAAAAGATAAAAACACAGTAAGGATCTTGAGTATAACCGCAATACTTACAATGTAGTCTGTTCAAAGGCACAAATGAAAATAACAACGCATGTCGGTATAATGATGATAATAGTAATGTTAATAATAACAATAATGATAAAGGCAACAGCAGCAGCAGCAGCAGCAACAACAACAACAACAACAACACCAACGGCAGCGGCAGCGGCAGCAGCAGCAACAGCAACAGCAGCAGCGGCGGCGGCGGCAGCAACAGCAACAGCAACAGCAACAGCAGCAACAGCAACAGCAACAGCAATTACAATAATAACAATCGTAACAACAAATAACAATATTTTTCAAGAACCGTGATGACAACATCATTGTTCTCATTATAATGACAACAATGACAACGATGATAGTAATCAATCCATCGGATTGGTTACAGTTGGACAAACGCCTCTCGAAACAAAATTATTTGAGGCATCCACCTCTTCCATCCTTGGTCACGGGATCGTTGCCCTTGTCCTGGAACCACCAGATGACAAAATCCAGATATGGAGAATTGGCAGCAAGCACTAGACCCCAGAACTGGGGAAACTCTTCTGAAGTCACGTTTGTATAAATATGTATAAATCATAGGCACTTTGCCACGAGCTCATAAGATTTGCCACGAGCTCATAAGACACACAAAAATTTAGCTGGGCGTCCGTGCTATTCCAGGGACCTTCGCATAGGCTGCTACCTCCCGGCGAACCCGATCCAAGAGCTGCCTGTCGAGATCTCAAAGGTAGCCAACCAACTGGCCAAGTCATCAAACGCAGATGCAAATGATGCAATGAAAAAGCGCAAAGACTTTCCAAAGAGATGCAAGATCATGACTGGTAGTAATGGCAAAGACAAGGACAGCTACAAGTCATGTTTTGAGTCAGTGTGTTCCTCATCATTACTTCAGCTTGGTTTGCATATGCCACTGCTATCCAGCTGTTCTTGCTTGCGTTTACGCGTGTGTCAATTGCAGCTGAGCAAAACCAGACCTGGCTTGCTTTTCAAACATTCGAGATCTGCCCTTGAGAACGACTTGGACCTTTACCTGAACACATCGCATTTTCCCGCCCAAGCAAGAACGCAAGAACTCGACCTCTCTAAAACAAACATTGAACTCATCAATTTCCAAGAAAAGTGTGTCGCAAGTTGCTGGGTCTTCATTTGCAAAATGACAAGAGTGTCTGTCTGTGTTCATCTATAGATATACGTGTATATATATATATATACATATACATGTTTGCAAACCATGTACAGCAGGTGATAGTGTAAGCTACAAACCAAAAAAACTGCTAGAACCCGCAAGAACTAACAACAACTGATTGTTAGAAAACTGGCCCCCATAGGCAGCTATGACATCATGTAGGACACGTGGCTTCCACTCCCAGCGCCTGCTGACGAGGATTCTCTACCCACTTCTCAATCTGAGTCAACCTCAGAGATCACGTCAAGTCATCAAGAACGCCTTTAAAGACTGTAGTGCAGCCACATACACTTCATTTCTAAGCTGCCCGATGTTCGCAGTACTTGGTTTGGGCAGTTCCATAAATGAGCAAGATGGTTGTTGGCAGCAAAGTCATTGATTGCATTTACAATCCGCTGTGCATGGGAAGAGCTTCAGGACTTCTGCACCGACCACAACACAAATTGTCACATATGATGATGTCAAAGCTGCCTTGTGTAAAGGTCATGGTCGCCGATTGTGTAGCTGATCTTCACCTGTGAACATGCTAACTAAACGGAGAATCGAGACAGCTATGAGCTGTTTTTGGCGCAAGTCACAAACGCGAAGAGTACAAGAACTGGAAACATGGCACCTCTTTCATCTTTGGCTGCTTGTTCTTCGCCTGCTCCTTCCAAGCTTCATATGGCACTTTGTAACATCATGAAGTGGACGCTCAGACAAGGCATGTTGCATATGAAGGCACTGGCAGTGGCTAGCGGCTACCGATAGTGAGATCCATCTCAGCATCTCGGTAGATTTGTTCTGGGTGACACTCCAGTTCGTGGCTATGCTGCCCAATCTTGCAAATGAAATTCATGGCCTTTTTCTTCTTGTTTTCCTGATAGATATACTTTCCCACGCCTCAACTTTCTGGCTGAAAGCTGGCTTTCTTGCTCCAAGAATCCAAACATATGTGATAAAAGCTCAATCAATTTGCAGAGCGAGAAATTCATATTGTGTTATCCCGTTTCATCATATCATATCTCATCTATTGCATGTACCTGTTGATCAATACACATGAGTACCATATGTATTGATCCGTGTGTCTGTGTGTGTTTTTGTGTCTCTGCATTTGTGCATCTGTGTACCATTGCATGCTATACATTTGTTTGGGTGATTGAGTGTTGATGCTAGAGTTTGCTCTTAGAGACACGCATCATTTGAAAGACACTCATCGTAATCATACTTTGTCATCAATGTGAACTTTTCTTTTTGGGGAAATTTTAAGTTTTCCTATCAAAGTGGCAATGACTGAGCCCTCGCACTTGCTATCTTGACCAGTGGTGGGTCCTGGTCCTTCGATGTGGAAACGGAAAGCGGAAGTATGCGGAAGTTCAAGTTGAACTTCACAGGATGTCTCGCTGCCAACTGAAATAAACACTTTCTTCATCTGCCGAGCCTCATTGATGAGGATCACATCCACGCCCAATTCTCTTGCCATGTCAAGTGCTCCAGAAATGGACATAATCTGATTGGTCTCCTGGCTCGTCGAGTTGGGTTCATGTAGAAAGTTGCTGGAAATGACAGAGTCATGCAGAAACTCCACTGTAGCCATACAAAAGTCTGGGCAGCAAATCTCACATCCCTGCGAGCTCTGCATCCTTAACTTTCACGTTGATTCATATTGCATGTTAAATTCCATCCATTCCTCCGGGACCCTGGGCCTGGGTGTTGACAGGTGTCACCGAATGGGTTGTCCTACTCTATTTGAGGTGTCGCGCATATGCAAGCGGCCTGAACACCAGCAGTGCTCCCAGTCCTGCATTTGGCCCCTTTCACCAGAGGCAATGCCAACAACCCGTACTTCATTGGCACGGATCTCTTCGTTCACCGTGTATTCTTTCTTCACATTCCTGCATTGGCATAGGGGAACCCATCAGCATTTCTTGATAGGTTGAGGGCTTTTGGTTTTGGAGGATTGGAGACAAGGGCGACTGCAGCGGATCGCAAAGAAGAAGATTCTGGCAGGAATAAAACAGCATAGAACAGCAAAGCAGTTCAGCTATGGCAGCTATGGGCAAAGGTTGTAGGCCCTGTAAGGACAGAGATCTCAGATAGGCCCACACATTGCTGTGCTGCACGCATCCAGTACTGTCTCCTGCCATCCAAATCTTGTGCGTGGCGACGCACCCTAGGAATTGGGGCTGCCCGCAAATATCTGCATGGAACAAAGCTTGCACCTCAGACCATGCTGAAGCTGGTGAAGTCTAAGGATTCTTTGGAAGTTTCATGTCAGTCCTCCTTTGTATTCCGTAAGAATTTCACAGCTCCTAAGTTCCGTGAATCTCCTCACCTCTCTGTTTGAATCTGTGGTAAAGCTGCGTAAAGACTTCACCGCTGTAGAATTAGAGATATCATGTGATATCTTTGTATGTGCACTTGTTAAGGACTCTGCGAAGGGATAAATGCAGCACCAGGCCGAAAATCGAAAGAGAAAGAAGGCTCCACCTGCCAAGAAACATGCAGGAAACCCGCGAAACTCTAAAAAACATGGCAGCTGTTAAGTTAAGTAACCCAACTACAACAGATTGTACTGAGATTTGGAAGCGTCATTTATGAGTCATACAGCTTCTCTGATTGCATCGGGTAGTTTCAACTTTGGATCGTTGACGAAAATTGTTCTTTAGCTGATACCCTCTTCCCACCAAAACAAAAATTGTCAGTCTGCCTCTGCCTCATGCCTACCGCACTATGCCCAAGCAAAATGTTCAATACTTCTGCTGAGAGCACCCACGTATAGCGCCCCTACCTTTGTGATTTACTCTAGAGTTTAAACCAACGCGGTTTCTACGGTTTGATTTCATCAGCTGAAACATACTCTAGTTTTGCAGTATTCATTGACTGTATTTGGTCTCTACACCTTTACCTTTCCTAGAGCCCTTTTTGTCAGCAATACTTTCTGCGCATTGAGTTTTCTGCCAGCACTTTTGAGCAACCTAGGCTGCAAGCACAATTAATTGAGAAAAACATGGTGCCGAAAACACCATGGTAAATTCCTGACAATGTCTTTCACTTCATGTTATGGCTAGCCTTTGCTCGATACACTATAGGGTCGCCCAGCATCATGTTGAGTCGCATCCTGGAAATTAAAACTACAGAGACCAGTGAAGCTGATATGAACTAACAATTAACATGCCAAAAAGATCCAAAAAAACACAACTCAATAGATTTGATGGAAGGGAATTGGGCGAATATATAACGGTATAAATATATATATATGTTTTAATGATATGTTTATATATAACTATATATATATATATAATGATCGAAGGAAGTTTAGAAGTCAAACTTCCGACAATATGGATAGATGAAAAGCAGAGCAGGGAAGAGGCAGAGAGAAGAGAAAGATCAGAAGAGAGAAGATGGAGATGCGCGAAAAGGTAGGAAAGTCGCGATTCACTGTGTTTTTCCAATGATTTGTGGCTCCGGAGGGTCGAAAAGTAGGCTCGCTAAAGCGGCGGGTGCGGAGCCAGCTGGCCAGATGAGACATGAAAAAGTGCACGCGGTTGTGGCGCGAAGCACGTTTCCAAGTCAAAATGGACAAAACAGTAGAGGAGCGGACCACTTTTGGAAGTTGAGATGTCGAAAAAGTGCACGCCGTTGTGGCGCGAAGCACATTTTGAAGTCAAAATGTACAAACACACCATGGTCGGACCACTTTTGGAAGTTGCGATGTCGAAAAAGTGCACGCCGTTGTGGCGCGAAGCACATTTCCAAGTCAAAATGGACAAAACACCTCAGCGTCGGACGACTTTTGGAAGTTGCGATGTCGAAAAAGTGCACGCCGTTGTGGCGCGAAGCACATTTCCAAGTCAAAAGGTACAAAACACCTCAGCGTCGGACGACTTTTGGAAGTTGCGATGTCGAAAAAGTGCACGCCGTTGTGGCGCGAAGCACATTTTGAAGTCAAAATGTACAAAACACACCAATGTCGGACCACTTTTCGCGGTTCAGATGTCGAAAAAAAGTGCACGCCGTTGTGGCGCGAAGCACATTTCCAAGTCAAAAGTGTTAAAAACTGACGGTCTCGGACCACTTTTGGAGGTTCGGATGTCG